AGTTTTGTATTTATTCTTTATCAGTGATATAGTGTTTTAAAATGCTACTGCTTTAAGTGGACGAAGCTTCACCTGGACATCCTGGCTTTGTCGTTGAACTATTTCGTTTACTTGTTGTTGTATCTGGGACCTTGGCGTGTATTTATCGTCATCCAAAACTTCTAACTGGGCTCTTTCATCATCTGATGAAACCATTTTTTGCAAGTCATGTATTTCCAAAAAAACTGAGGAAGAGACGACAATAACGGCAGCAAGATACAAAATGGATTTCATCCTGAATGAAAATTATTAAAACAGTGCTCACTGAAGAAATATAGTCAGACAGAAGCAACAACAAAACTCCACAACAGTCGTCTATTTTAATGAAAAAAAGTAGACAATTAGAATCTTGTTAGATAAAAACACCTAACAGCAAGCAGTTATTACTTTTCACCAAATTATAAATCAAGGATGATGCAGCAAGTTAAACAGAAGTTTGATTTGAAGCTATCAGAGCAAATCTGTCCACAAAATTGTTTAAACATGCTGATTAAATAGAGGATCACTACAAATTTATTTGTTGACAATTTCAGGCAAATATTTTTTTAACTTATTTATCTTGCATTTGAACTTATGGGTACCAAACTGATTAGTTTTTAAACTATCCACTGCAGCAGCAGATTTTTGACTGAAATTCTGATAAAAACCAGAGTTCACAGTAAGTTTGCTTAACCTGCGAAAATTAAAGCACATAAGACGCCGTCTTCTTCAAGTAAAAGAATAAGAAAAAATTGTTTCACATTTCTATGACTCACTGTATCAACAAACCAATTTATTAAAACCAAAATTTTGCTGTTTTCCACTGTTGATTTAGTCCTGTTTATAAACAATTTTTTATTAATGCGAGCAAACTTGTATCACTTTGTATAAAATAGCAGTGATTAATAAAAAAGCAATGACATATCGTGTGCTCTTAGCTAATAAATTTAACCTTCTATAAGAGCCAGTTTTTCTGACACAGTAAAAAGCAGAAATTTGTGCTGAAGAGTAGTAATATACTATGTAACCCTTCTGTAAATTTCACGTATGAGGCATTTGAACAGGCAGTTGAGTTAGACACGTCAAATGTACTCCGTTACACATGTCTTTTTGTTTGCGCCTTAGTCTAACAATAATTAAAGATATTCAAAGCGAAATGTTCTAACAAAACTACTTCTTAAAACTACAGTTCTAACTTTTTGACGCCACTGCTGAATGTTTCATTGAGGTTCCTCTAACATAGTTTACGTCAACAGTGGCTGATCACTCTACCAACTGAAAAAAATTATGTAAATCGATTTTGTACTTCAACATGGTAAGTTTTGATTTTTTAATTCATAAAACAGACTCAAAACTACCCTGCAAAATTCAGAACATTATTTAGCTTCCTCTTTCGTTTCATGCATATCCCATAGATAGGATCTTCTCGATCCTTCTCAACTTCTTCATCTTCTTTTTTGAGCTTTGTTTAGTTTTTCAAATGCCAGCTTGCTTTCATAACAGACTGACTTTTCACTTGTCTTTCTGAAAGACAAACATAAAAAATTTAATCTGATCGTATAATTCTTTTTTTGACTATTGTAAGTAATTCAAAACTCTGTTTTTTCCTTAATGCTTATTCAGATCTCTGTGGATTCGTCATTTTCATTCAAAAAATTTCTTGCATATAAAAAGAAAACCTTGAGTTTTTTAGAGTCATTCTTTTTTTCAACTGGTTTTTAAAAACAAGTAATATTGTATCACGTTTTTTGGTTAACTGAAAACGCAGTTATACGAAAGGTATTTCTGCAGTTGTCTCAGTGATTCCGTATCCGAATTT